GAAGGTGAAACAGATTGCTTTGCGTGTCTTACAAAAATGTTTTTAGAAGTTTTAGTATTTTCCATTGTGCTTTTTATTTTTTAATTGCGCTGCTTCCTCACTGATGTGTTTCCCTCCCAGGGCTCCTTTGGGGAAGAAGAGTGGGGTAGAGATTTAATAAATAAATAAATACGCCCAATTTGTTCCCGCCTTGTTCCTAGGTGAATATACATCAAAACAATAGAGGTTAACTGTATTCGAATCCACATTTCAAGAGCTGAAAATAAATCCCGCTGCCCCCGTCCCCGCTTCTCCTCCTCTTCCAGCAACCTGTGTTTCTTCGTTCAATCAAACAGAATCGGGCTTTGTTATTCTGAGATTTCATTTTTCAAGGAAGGTGGCAAGATGGAGCCAAAACAACTCGTTTTAGCTTATAATGAGGATGCCCCGGAGGTCTGGACTCTGCACTCCACACAGACTGCAGCTGATGCCTTGATTAAAGCAGACCCTGCTGATAAAATCCCTCTCTCTCCCCCCCAATAGCAGTAAAGGGTCCATCTCTGACTTTAGAATAGAATCCCAGCGGTAATGTTTCATAATTTCCTCTAAATGGTAAAGGAATGAAGAAGAAGGATACATCTGCAGGCTTGAACTTGGCTCCTTCTCCTAATAATGTGTTCCTATTGGCAAGGGATTGTGTGCTAAGATGCATTGCTTACAGGGGGACACTGGGACATTGTCCCTTTGTTGTCGCATGAAAATGTTTGCAGGTCTTGAACCTGGCAGCTGTCCCACAGTGCACCTGCAGGCAATGGGTCCTCGATCACCTCCGCAGCCAGAGCAGATTCAGCTGGTGTCTGCTCCTGAGGATCCAGCACAGGTGAGGGCCCTTCAGGTTCAAGCCCCAGCCCCGGCTCAGCTGGCCCTGGAGGCGGGGACTCCTGTGCAGGCTGGGATTCCTCAGGTTCAGCCTCTGAATCCAATTCCCAGGCCATCACATAGATGCTCCAATGGCCTGAGTCAGAACAAGGCAGCTTGCTATGTTCCTTTCCACCAGAATCTATATTTCTAGTCATGCTGGAAAGGACACAGGGAAGTATGTGATTGACAGGAAAGGGGGGGGGCGGTTTGCCTCTTTGCCATCCCTATAAGGGGGGTATGCAAAAGGATGGAAAGTTTGTTTCCATCATTTCTTTAAAAGTCTCAGCTGTGATCATCAGTTAGGAAAAGTGAAATGAGAGCTTTCAAATCAGCAATGTTACTACATTCCTGTTGCCAAGAACGTGAAATTCAAATTTGCGGCTGCCTTTTTCTGGCTCATAAAAAAAGCATCAGCAGAATTCATTGCAAAAACTGGCATTCTGTATTCATTTCAGCGCAGGAGACTTTTTCTCGAGTTTTGAGGAAAGTTTAGGCGCTGCACAGAGTTTGCATTATGCTCAAATTCTGAAGGGTGGGATAACACTTGTAGCCCTCCAGAAATTGTGGAAAAGGGGACGACAGAGGACAAGATGGTTGGACAGTGTTCTCGAAGCTACTAACATGAGTTTGACCAAACTGTGGGAGGCAGTGGAAGACAGGAGTGCCTGGCATGCTCTGGTCCATGGGGTCACGAAGAGTCGGACATGACTAAACGACTAAACAACAACAATAACTTGTATCAGCAAGAACAATGGAAACTGTAGTCCAGTTATATCTGGCAGACATAGATTCCCTGCCCTTAACTTATATGGTGGTGGCGGCGGGGTCTGTTTGAATTATATTTTTGCACGTGCGCGCGCGCACACACACACACACACACACACACATACTGTCAGGCATCAGAGGATACAACCCCCCATGGTAGGTTGCCAGGAATGGATAAGACAAGGAAAGTTCTTACCAATGCTTTTTATTCAATATTCACAGAGAGAGGCTGTGATCAACTCCCTCCCAGAAACCAATGTCCCCACTGTGGAAGGACGTGTGGATCCAGAAATGGCCTCCACAGTCACTTACAGACTCATTGTTAAAACTGTGTTTATGGAAGACAATCTTACTCGGCTACGAGTGATCGCCAAAGAGAAGAGAGAGTGGTGCAGGTAAAATAGATTTATTTTAAAAAATGAGTTGGGCCTGGAAACTAATGACATTTTCCTCTGCCCTTTCCCTGAGGGAGTAAATGAGAATATGACCCATAATTCTCTGCGGCATGCAGATGGCCCATGCTGGATGCTCAGAGGTTCCTCCATAGATGTGTCTATTTGGTAATCGTAGAATCATAGAATTGTAGAGTTGGAGCATCATCTAGTCCAGCTCCTTGCAATGCAGGAATGCTAAGGCATCCATGACAGATGGCCATCCAACCTTTGCTTAAAAACCTCAGATGAAGGAGATTCCACCACCTTCTATGTGAGACCATTCCACCAATAATTCCCTAAAGGCAGAATGCTTGCAAAACATCCTGTTCACGCAGGTCTGTCCTAAAAACAAGCTTGGGATAATTCTCCTGCAGGTGCTGGTGGCTGCATTCTCCTTCCTTGCTATATCTTAGTTAAAAACTTTATAGGCTACTATTTTCCCCGCACCCCATGATAAAAGCATCAATGCTTTGTTTCCAACTGAAACAGACAGGATTTCTGGTCTGTTAACCACATCATTGCACTCTTTGAATATTGGCATTCATATCTCCCCCCCCCACTTCAGATTCTAATTGTGTTTCTGGTTTTTAATGACTTTTTCATCTGTGCCAAATATGCTGACTCCTCTATCAACTACCTCACAGCAAATTTCATCAGCCTTGGGTATGCTGACTCCCAGATAGTTTTCTCCCATAATTAGATGCTTACTGACTTGGATGCAGTCCTGAGTTTTGATTCTCTTAGCTACATTTACCTTCTGTTTGGGTTTTGGTGTGTTGTGTTGCTTCCATGACCGACAAGCAAACGCAGCCTGGAAAAACCCCAAAGATTTTCCTTTTCTAGAGGGACATCTGAGACCAGGTGGGCTTCCGGAACAAGTCTCAATTTTCAGGTGGGATGCAATCAAAAACGGAGAAATTCAGGATGCACAATTAAAGCCGACTGGAAGGTCTTGTCAGGAGAAGGTTGTCGATTTGGGGAAATGGGGGCAGTGCCCCACCCTCCTAAAGTTGCCCTCAGCCAGCCACCACTTGCCTATCTCCTTGCTTGGCAACCAGTTCAGGGCTTTGCTAAGATTCAGCATCTTAAAAAGTAGAGACATCACCTTGCCAACTAAGGTCCGTATAGTTAAAGCTACGGTTTTCCCAGTAGTGATGTATGGAAGTGACAGCTGGACCATAAAGAAGGCTGATCGCCAAAGAATTGATGCTTTTGAATTATGGTGCTGGAGGAGACTCTTCAGAGTCCCATGGACTGCAAGAAGAACAAACCTATCCATTCTTACGGAAATCAACCCTGAGTGCTCACTGGAAGGACAGATCGTGAAGCTGAGGCTCCAATACTTTGGCCACCTCATGAGAAGAGAAGACTCCCTGGAAAAGACCCTGATGTTGGGAAAATTGAGGGCACAAGCAGAAGGGGACGACAGAGGACGAGATGGCTGGATAGATTACGAGTATACCACTCTTAACCACGATGCCACAACTAATCCAGAATGCGGCAGCTAGACTGGTGACTGGGAGGTGCCACCAAGACCACATAACACCGGTCCTGAAAGACCTACATTGGATCCCAGTACGTTTCTGAGCACCATTCAAAGTGCTGGAGCTGACCTTTAAAGCCCTAAATGGCCTCGGCCCAGTATATCTGAAGGAGTGTCTCCACCCCCATCGTTCTGCCCGGACACTGAGGTCCAGTGCCGAGGGCCTTCTGGCGGTTCCCTCACTGCAAGAAGTCAAGTTACAGGGAACCAGGCAGAGGGCCTTCTCGGTAGTGGCACCCGCCCTGTGGAACGCCTTCCCACCAGATGTCAAAGAGAACAACAACTACCAGACTTTTAGAAGACATCTGAAGGCAGCCCTGTTTAGGGAAGCTTTTAATGTTTGATGCATTACGGTATTTTAATATTTTGCTGGAAGCAGCCCGGAGTGGCTGGGGAAGCCCAGCCATATGGGCGAGGTATAAATAATAATAATAATAATTCCAGCTGCTGGAAACCACAGGAGGGGTGAGTGTCCTTGTGCTTTCAGGTTTCCCACAGGCACCTGTGGAGATAGCAAGGCCTCTTTTTGGCCAGTTCAGGAATCTTGATCATATTTTGTAACTACTTCTCCTGGAATTAATTTGCGAAAATCTCTTTGAGCAATGTTTTCGGATTCCACATTCTTTAGCAACTTTGGACTGAATTAAAGCAATCTTGCAGGCATGTATAATAACATAAGGAGAGCCGTGCAGGATCCAAACAATGGCCCATCTAGTCCAGCATCCTGTTCTCACAGTGGCCAGTCAGATGGGAAACCTCCAAGCATGTGCAATACATTCTGGAGAAACTAGAGTACTGTCAGGTGCATTATATACAGTGGTACCTCAGGTTAAGAACTTAAGTCGTTCTGGTGGTCCTTTCTTAACCTGAAACTGTTCTTAACCTGAAGCACCACTTTAGGTTATTGTATTTTAGTGGCTGGGGAAACCCAGCCAGATGGGTGGGGTATAAATAATAAATTATTATTATTAGCTAATGGGGCCTCCTGCTGCTGCTGTCGTGCAATTTCTGTTCTCATCCAAAGTTCTTAACCCGAGGTACTATTTCTGGGTTAGCGGAGTCCGTAACCTGAAGCGTCTGTAACCTGAGGTACCACTGTATATATAGATTTAAAAAAACAAAACAAAGGACTACCTTATCAAGAACATTAGTGTCAGGCGGCAGTGGACCCAACCCCTATGGCAGGTCACCAGGAACGGATAAGACAAGGAAAGGGTCTTACCAACTGCTTTTTATTCAATATTCACAGAGAGAGGCTTGGAAATGCAGCCTCTTAGAATAATAGCATTGCCCCAAGTGAGGCTCCACCACCTTGCTCTTTCCCTTCATGCGTCATCACTACAGGTGCTGAGAAGTGCCCTCTGCCTCTGAGATCTCTGATCTCCTACTTTCAATGCTTGCCGGGTTCTGGGAGGGGGGGTCTGGATAGACACTGTGTCCACCAGCCGCCCCATCCCCCCAGTGCTTCTTCTTCCTCCTCCTCTCCCATTATTTCACAGCTTTCCCCCTCATCTGCCTCTGAGCTGTGATCTCCCTCAAACCCCTGTTGTAATTCTGAACTGTCTTCTACTTCTCTGGAAGGGTCAGGCTGGGCAGGTGGTCTCCACCATTCCTCCTCTGTCCAGTCCCTGACAATTAGGAAGGAATTTCTGGCAGTAAGAAGTGTTTGACAGTGAAACAGACTAATAATAACTAGCTAACTAACTAACTAACTAACTAACTAACTAAATATTTGTATGCCACTCATCCGACTGGGTTAAAAAATTCCTTGTACAGGGCTGCCTTCAGATGTCTTCTGAAAGTCTAATAGTTGTTTATTTCCTTGACATCTGATGGGAGGGTGTTCCACAGGGCGGGCGCCACCACCGAGAAGGCCCTCTGCCTGGTTCCCTGTAGCTTTACGTTTCGCAGTGAGGGAGCCACCAGAAGGCCCTCAGAGCTGGATCTCAGTATCAGGGCTGAACAATGAGGGTGGAGACGCTCCAAGGCCATTTAGGGCTTTGAAGGTCAACACCAACACTTTGAATTGTTGGTTTGAATTGCTACCTTGGAAGGTGGTGGGCTCTCCTTCATTGGATGTTTTTAACAGGGGTTGGATAGCCATATTTCATGGATACTTAAGCTGTGATTCCTGTATTGCAGGGGGTTGGGCCACAGGGCCCTTTTGGTCCATTCCAACTCTACAATTCTATGATTCTAAGAGATGTAAAAATAGAATTCTTAAGAAATGAGGTCGGGAGGCAACATTACCCAAACACTCTATTCTATTGTAACTTCAATGGCTTTTGTATGAATTCATTCTACAGCTGCTGCTCTCAATGTGCAGATGAAGGACAAAGAGATAAAACCACTGATCCAGCTTGTGATCATCTCATTGAAGAACAAACGAACAGGAGAGGAAAAGAATTCCTTCCTCCTTGGGACAATGGGGAAACAAACTCAATAAAGGCAGGAGTGTAAGGAAAACACGTAAGGACAAAATTGGTTTAAGGGAAGGAAATGATGGAAGAAAATATGCCGCAATGTCTTAATATTTTGGCATTCACAAGCTATTGCCAAATATCACCAAGTGGTAGGAGTCACGGGAAGCTGCTTTATACCAACAAGATACAAGCCAGATGTTTTGGACTGCAACTCCCATCAGCTCCAGGCAGCATAGCCAGTGGACAGGAATGATGGGGGATGTAGTTGGTAACATCTGGAAGGCACCATGTTGGCTACCCATAACCTATAGAGAGTACCAGAGCATCTCCAGGATTTCAGCCCCCATCCCTACCTAGAGAGATTAGGGGTTGAACCTTGTGCATGCAGTGCAGATGTTCTACCACCAAGCTTTAGCCCTTCCTACTGTGGGATACATCAGCCTCATATAACCAACATGCTTAACTCTATTTAATGCATGAAGGGGTTAAGACCATAGAGTAAGGTGTCCTGCCAGGCTTAGTTAGGTCACTCCCCCTCACCTTGGGAGGAAGGGCTACCAAACTCTTTGTTCTCTCACTTTCCACTCTTCCACCATACCTACCTACCAGTAAGAAGGTCTAAGCTGGATGCTCCAATTTTGGACTGTGTGGCTTAAAGAAGCCATCTTTGTGTCTCTATGCAAACAATTTAGAAACTCTTACCATTTGGGAACCTAAGTTAGGCTGCCTGTCTTTTCTTGCTGCTGTGTGGGAAAGCACATGAATCTGACGTTTGAAGAGTTTGTAAGTAAGAAATTCCGACGAAGGAAGAATGGCAGACTAAATTAATGGACTATGCAGAATTGGACAAAATGACAGGAAGGATTCGAAACCTGTGGGACCAGAGATTTACAGAAGATTGGGAGAAGTATATGAATTATTTGAAGAGCAACTGTAATCAACAAATTACGCTAGTAGGACTACAAGAAGTTTTGTAAGGAGAAATATACGAAGTGTTACAAAGTAGAAAAAGATAGAGATATTGGTTATGAGTTTGAAATGTAATATGGAAGATAAGAAATGCATACTGAGAGATTAGATTGGAAAATTTTCAGACAGGATTGATGGAAGTCAAAAATTTGAATAAGATGTAAAAATATGTTTAATTACTGTTGAAAATGATATGTTAAAAAAACTAATAAAAAATTATATATTAAAAAAGAGAGAGAAAAAAGAAGAGTTTGTAAGTAAACCATTTTTACCTTACTGGATGCGTGGTCTCTTTCTATGCTAAGGAAAGTGGAAGCAACTTAGAAAGGGACATTTTAAAAGCCTAACAACCTATATTCCCATGCTTTACTTTGCAGCATGTTTTGTGATTTTAAATCTCTGCTGGTCCTCTCTCACCAAACCTGAATCCAAGTATCCAGGGAATTCTCCTTTTATTTTACTGTATCTAGTATTTAATCTTTTAACCAAACCAAAAGTCAACACCAACTGGGGCAGAGGCTTCTCCGTTTATATAAAATTTATTTTATAAATAATGAATATTGTATGTCTTCTTTTTTTATACCTACATAGGGCATTCCTGGAAACTGAATTGAAAATGGGGGTCATGTGAAGCTAAATAAACACACTTTGCTAGAGCGCTGAAGCCTTTGTAGAGAAACTTGTTTCTAAGCACCCCGGCACACCCTTCTCTATTGCCCATCCAGGCAAGCAAGAATCATTTTCAGAGTTTGAAGACAAATTCCAGCCAGGCAGAAACACTCAAAGAGGGTGGGAAACAAGGCTGCCAAAGGCTGTAGTATATGGATACCAGACGTCCCCGTTTCCCAGGGACAGTCCTCAGATTCACAAATCTGTCCCCAGACAAAATCCGTCCCCGGAATGTCCCTGGATTTCATTTAATGTCCCCGGATTTATATTTTAAGTGTTGTAGATTTATTAGTAGGGAATGAAGGTTGTGTGATTGGTTCAACGGCACAAGACACATCATATGGGGACTTCCGGCAAGGCAAAAAGGCGGGCGCCACGGCAGCGGGCAGCTCCTGAAGCCAGCCAGAGCCAACTGTGCCACCAGGCTGGCTCCAGGCTGCTGAGACTTCCGCTGCCACTGCCGAGGGGGAACTGGGAATGCCTGGCGCGTCAACTGAGGGAACAACTGACACACACCCCGCTACCCAAATTGAGCCGGGAGCGAGAGTGCCCGGCCACTTGGCCGACTGCCCAGCAGCGCTCTGGGGCCAGGAAAACCCTGAAGCCAATGCAGGGAGAAAGGGGAGAGGAGAAGGAGAAGGAAGAGAGAGGAAGAGGAAGGAGAAAAAAGAGGGGAGCCCCGACCTTGCCACACTGCTGCCGCTGAGGAGGAGAGGTAGGAGAGCACCGGGAGGGCAAGGACACAAGGCTAGCGCTTCAAGAGAGCAGGCCGGGACCCAGAGGAAGGCCATGCGACAGAGGAGACCACAGAAGAGAAGATATTACTTCTTCTTTTTTAACTTTTTTAAAAAACTTTTTTTAAAAAAAAAATGGTCCCCGGATTCTTTGAAAAAAATCTGGTAACCTTACTGTAGTAGCCTGGGAGGGAAGATGTGGCTGGGGTGGAGCATGGCTTGGAGAGAGTCCTGAGGGCAAGATAGAGATGCTTCTAAGGCTGTATTTGGTCTCCTGGTTTGAGGTTCCCCACCCTGGCTGACGCGATTATTTGGGGCTTGATTTCAATTGTTGTATTTGGTTTAAGTATGGTTAGCTGCCTTGAAATAGCTTTCAGGGTGTGGGTGTGGGAGAGAGAGAGAGAGAGACAGAGAGAGAGAGAGAGTGAATGAATGAATGAATGAATGAATGAATAAAGCACTTAGCAATGTTGCAGAACTTAGTAATAATTTTGGGGCCAGTTTTATCTATCAGTTTGCCTTACCTGACAGCTTTGATCAGCGGAATTGGCACTTTTGCAAGTGCTACATAATACCCAAACCACATCAGCAAGAACTTAATCCTTTGGTACAGCAACTACAATTTGGAACTCCCTGCCTATTGATATCAGGCAGCACCTGCCTGCTGAAGACATTCTTATTTAGACAAACCTACCAGGTGGCGTGGGTGGCGCTGTGGGTTAAACCACAGAGCCTAGGACTTGCTGATCAGAAGGTCGGTGGTTCGAATCCCCGCGACGGGGTGAGCTCCCGTTGCTCAGTCCCTGCTCCTGCCAACCTAGCAGTTCGAAAGCTTGTCAAAGTGCAAGTAGATAAATAGGTACCGCTCCGGCGGGAAGGTAAATGGCATTTTCGTGTGCTGCTCTGGTTCGCCAGAAGTGGCTTAGTCATGGTGGCCACATGACCCGGAAGCTGTACGCCGGTTCCTTCGGCCAATAAAGCGAGATGAGCGCCGCAACCCCAGAGTCGGTCACGACTGGACCTGATGGTCAGGGGTCCCTTTACCTTTACCTTACCCAGATATTTAGAAAGTTTGTAGGAAGTTCAGTTTGCACTAGTCTATTTTGTTGTGGTTTTTACCTTCTGCACGTTTTAAATTACGGTTGCAATTTTCTTAGTGATAATTTTATCTTTTTTCTTTACCGCATTGAGTTTCTTCCTACAATCAAGCAGTATATAAATTTTATATAAATAACTAGTATATAAATATATATAGTATATAAATAAATAGCCTGGATTCAGATTGACCCAAATCATACCAGAAACTGAATATCACTCATCTGTTAAGTTTTTCTTTCTTTTCTTTTCTTTTCTTTTCTTTTCTGCCTCTCAAACTGCAATTTGAGAATTTTGCAGATGTGTAGAGCTCCTTCCCGGGAACATTTTCTAGCCATGTTGGTAAATTGCTATCCCAGTATGAAATCAAGCTGAGGACAATTTGGTCACTGCTGTTTCATTGATCTGTAAACCTGTAAGGTTCCAGAGGCCAGTTCCTAGCTTCTAAATACAGCCCCATTTAAGAGAGCATCTTTAAATTTAATCTTTATCTCTGTACTAAAGCCATGGTTTTCATGTTAGTTTCCAGTCAATCCCATAATTGGCTATAACTTTCTGAAGTTGAAATGCTTCCAGATACGATCTTAGTCTTAATGAAATTTTGTGGAAGGAATATAGGTGCGTAACAATGATTCAGTAATGTGCGTTTGTAATGTGTCTTTCCACTCCATTATTATCCAGAACAAAAGAACAGCACTTAAAAAAACAACAACTGCTGCGTACAGAACTCTGCATCTTTCATGATAAGTTCTACCCCATTCACCCCTCAATTTGTTCCCACCCGAGCCAATTTAAATTGAGTTCGGGGAAGAAGGAACATGCCAGACGGGAAACAGTGTTCTATCTGGAAACCTCAAGGACCGCTCAGTATATTATTAGATCACTCTGCCACTCACAAATTCTGATGGACATGCGGAAGCCATTTTGAAACATTGGTCGTTTCCAAAACCCTACTGGGATCTCCTTCCATTAAAGAAAGAAGCACTCAGCACTGAGATTTTGGGGGGAAATATGATGCATTTCTAAAGGGACATGGGTGGCGCTGTGGGTTAAACCACAGGGCCTAGGACTTGCCGATCAGAAGGTCGACGGTTCGAATCCCCGCAACGGGGTGAGCTCCCGTTGCTCGGTCCCTGCTCCTGCCAACCTAGCAGTTCGAAAGCTTGTCAAAGTGCAAGTAGATAAATAGGTACCGCTCCGGCGGGTAGGTAAACAGCGTTTCCGTGCGCTGCTCTGGTTTGCCAGAAGCAGCTTAGTCATGCTGGCCACATGACCCGGAAGCTGTACGCCGGCTCCCTCAGCCAATAAAGCGAGATGAGCGCCGCAATGCCAGAGTTGGTCACAACGGGACCTAATGGTCAGGGGTCCCTTTACCTTTACCTATGATGCATTTCTATCCCACCTTTTCCTCCAAGGAGGTCCAGGTAGTGTATGTGGTTCTCCCCTTCCTCATTCCTTCCCCACAACAACCCTCTGAGGTAGGCTAGCCTAAGAGGCAGTGACTGGCCCAAAATCACACAGTGAGCTTCATGGCCAAGTGTAGATATGGTTTGCATGCAGCTTCTGTCCCCAATGTCTCTGTGTGCACATTGATCCTGGCCTTCTGATGCTGAGAGGGGAGAGTTTGCAATGGGTTTTTTACTTTGTTGACTTGCAACGTGACAAGAACTCTCCGTGTGATTGAGTCCTATGATTTGTCCAGAGGGTTTTACTCGTGTTTCAGGGCATGCAAGGACCCTCCTTCCTGGCAGACCTTCTCTGCTTGACATGGGAAGGGTGGTACATTAAGGAGGGACCCTCATGTACACCCTTGTCCTCTCCCAAAATTGATATATTTGCATGTTCCGAAAAGTGTCTGGACACAGATAATGTAGAGTTGTATGCATTGTTAGGGACGCGGGTGGTGTTGTGGTCTAAACCACAGAGCCTCTTGGACTTGCTGATCAGAAGGTTGGTGGTTCAAATCCCTGCAATGGAGTGAGCTCCCGTTGCTCTGTCCCAGCTCCTGCCAACCTAGCAGTTCGAAAGCATGCCAGTGCAAGTAGATAAATAGGTACCACTGTGGTGGGAAGGTAAACGGCGTTTCCGTGCACTCATGTTTCTGTCACAGTGCCCCGTTGCACCAGAAGCGGTTTAGTCATGCTGGCCACATGAACCGGAAAGCTGCCTGTGGACAAGTCTGTGAGCACCTAGAAAGGAATGCTGTGATCACCAATAGTCAGCATGGATTTCTGAAAAATAAGTCATGCCAGACTAACCTGATCTCGTTTTTTGACAGAATTACAAGCCTGGTAGATGAAGGGAATGCAGTGGATGTAGCTTACCTTGATTTCAGCAAGGCATTTGACAAGGTGCCCCGTGATATTCTTGTAAAGAAGCTGGTAAAATGTGGTCTTGACTATGCTACCACTCAGTGGATTTGTAACTGGCTGACTGACCGAACCCAAAGGGTGCTCATCAATGGTTCCTCTTCATCCTGGAGAAGAGTGACTAGTGGGGTGCCACAGGGTTCTGTCTTGGACCTGGTCTTATTCAACATCTTTATCAACGACTTGGATGATGGACTCAAGGGCATCCTGATCAAATTTGCAGATGACACCAAACTGGGAGGGTGGCTAACACCCCAGAGGACAGGATCACACT